CGAGTCGAGTACTCAGCAGGAACCGTTTAGTATCCGTCACTCTGAGTATGCAGAGGCTAGCCGTCATCTCTCTAAGCATGCAAAGACTTGCCGTCGGCTATCTGAGAATATTTCCGACAGCCGTGAGTCGTGCGAGCAGGAGCGGGGGCGGCGGGGGTTGGAGGAGAACATGGTGGGATCCGATGGGCACAACTGGCTCAAATACGGCCAGAAGCAAGTGCAGCGCTCCAACGCCAGGTCAGCCTCGTTCACCAACATCAATGTGGACGTCCTGAATCTGTGTCTTTAAGTTTATTTTTGGACGAAGTCTCTCTCGGAGGGCCTCCTGAATGTGACAGTCCTGAATCTGCCCCAAAATTATTTTATTCGACCAAATGTGACCCAAATGCGACCAGATTGGGACATATCCAGGACTGAACATTTTGGTGTCAGATGGAGTGCGGGATTCCCCTCTTGATTGCGGATGATTTGCAACGTGCGAGAAATGTTGTAGTTACCCGTGCTGTGCTTTTATGCGGAGTCCTTCACTTCATCATCAGATCACAGAGTGTGTGGCAACTACAAAGTTTTCCTCCAGCCACTGTTGAACCCATCATCTCTTTCCCTCCTGTCGCTCTACACCCGTGCCCCGGAAGCAGGTGCTGCTACGGATGCACTCGGTCCAAGACCACACCTCACTGCCCGGCCAAGAAAATCGTTGACATCAACGGCCGCAACGAGCCGCTTGCCCCCGACGCCATCCAAGTCGCCTACCGCTTCCACCTCCACAACCACCCCGCGCCAGCCATCCACGCGGTTCCTGCCAACCACTCTGCACCTCCCATCCGCCGTTAGCCCAGTCCCCTCCTCATCCCCAATGACCGCCCCGCCTACCACTTCAACAAGCGCCCTAGTGATCACCCAACCAATCATCCTAACAAGCGCCCTAGTACTTACTCCCCTACCAACAATCCCACCTTCCGCACTGCGGACCAGCATAGCAACCTCGTGGCTTCACTCAGTGGTGTTGGCTTCACTCCAGCTAGCGCCACTCGGCCAGTTGCATCCAGTGCAACTTTGAATACCTCGACGAGTGATTCTGGTGGGGCCCTGAACGGCCCAGCTGCAGATTCTGGTGCTGCTCTGAACGCCCCAGCTGCTGATTCTGGTGCTGCTCTGAATGGCCCAGCTGCTGATTCTGGTGCTGCTCTGAACGCCCCAGCTTCTGATTCTGGTGCTGCTCTGAACGCCCCAGCTGCTGATTCTGGTGCTGCTCTGAACGCCCCAGCTGCTGATTCTGGTGCTGCTCTGAACGCCCCAGCTGCTGATTCTAGTGAGCCTCTGGATGTCCTGGTGGGGGCACTGCCGTATGAGAGCAAAGAAGTGTGTGCTGCTGCTGCCAGTGCTCTCAGTGCTGCTGTTGCTGCTGTTTCTGTTGCTGCTGCTGTTGGTGATGGTGGTTCTGGTGCTACTGGTGCAGCTGGTGCTGCTGATTCTGCTGCTGCTGATACTAATGCTGGTGGTGCTGTCGAAGATGCAGATTGGCCGGCAGCAGCGCTCTTTCACTCTCTCTGTCAGGAGGAGCAGCTACCCAAAAGTACTTGGCTGCATTTGCGAGACTTTCCCCCTGTATCTCACGCGCGTACCCGCCTCCAGTCACCTCCTCCGCAGTTGGCTGGGTTTTTCCCCGTTAATGGCTGCTCCACTGACTGCAACAATGCTGCTGCTATTGACACGGGCAGGCCTACAATGTCTGTGGAACCATTGCAAGTGACTCTCGACTGTCAGATGCTGGAAGAAGATGTCAGCCGTCGACTGTATGATGAGGAAGTCAATACGACGGATGATATTTATTCTCTGCTGGGAGCAAGTCCGCCTAAGGAGCAAGAGCTACAAGAGCTGTCACTTTGTCGCAGTCCCAACCACGTGGGGCCTTTACATGATTCTTCTGAGAATGTGATGGCTGTGGAGGAGTAGAGGGCAGGTTGCGTTGCGATGGGCGATGAGGAGAAATTGTGTCGCGGTTTGCATTGTTATGGGGAGGAAGGGTCGGTGCGCGACCATTCAGAGGCGAGATTGGGAGCACCGATGGGGTCTGTGCTGCTTGCTGGTGTGCTTGGCGCCATGTTGCCTGACTCAAGCATTGGGTGCTCTGCTGTATTTGACACTAGTGGGATTTTTAATCAGCGGGATGTCATGGTGCTGCATCAGCAACAGGGGCAGCAGAAACAGCAGCTGCAGCAACAGCAGTGGCAGCAACAGCAGTGGCAGCAGCAGCAGTGGCAACTGAATTCACCAAGCACTGCAAGCAAGCGCCAGTGCCAAGTGGGTGAGGAGAAATTGACCTGTGCTGCTCATATGCCAACGCCAGCAGCAGCTGAGCCCTCAGCTCCACACATGCCAATCCTGCAAAAAACACTATCATTGCGAGGAGCACCATCAGTGCAAGGAGCTTTCTTGGAGCAACAGCTTCACCATCACCCAACGCTGCTGGCTTCGGCCACTGGAGTGCTGATCACCTCGAGGCACCTCACAAGGCCTTAGCACATGGAGTGCCAATGGATTCGACTCCAACTCCCATGCAGCCCTTGCCATGTGCAGCAGGTGCAGCCCTTGCCATGTGCAGCAGGTGCAGCGCAACAAGCGCCGCTCGTGCAACAGATAGAAGCCCACTGATCCATACCTTCAATGTGCACACGCCTTCCAGCTCAGCCTGCACTGTTTCCGTCTGCAGCTGGGCATGAAATGCTTGGCCCTGGAAGCCCACTTGTGCCTGCAATGCACAACCTACCTCCGGCTCAGCCTGAACTGTTCCCGTCTGCAGCAAAGCACAACATGCCTGGCTCTCGAGATTCGCTTGTGCTTTCAGCGCCCCACATTCTTCCAGTCCACGATGCAGTATTTCCGACTGCAGCAAAGCACAAAATGCCTGGGCCAGCGCCCCAACAGAAAATGCCTGGGCCAGCGCCCCTACAGAAAATGCCTGGGCCAGCGCCCCTACAGAAAATGCCTGGGCCAGCGGCGCAGCAGGAAATGCCTGGGCCAGCAGCGCAGCCGGAAATGCCTTAGCCAGCGGCGCAGCAGGAAATGCCTGGGCCAGCCGCGCAGCAGGAAATGCCTGGGCCAGCCGCGCAGCAGGAGATGCTTGGGCCATTGATCCCTGTCGTGTTCCCTGCAGCCGTGTTTGCGTTTCTGGGAGGGACGAGCACCATTCGAATTTCAGACTTTGCGGCTCCTGACGTGCGAAAAGAGTTCCAGTTGTGGCTCGAGGGCAGGGGCTAGTAAAGATGTTTCTTTTGGGTTGTTTTTACTCCCAAATAGCTGGTGTAATTCAATTGTGTGTATGGCATGCATGGTATGTTTAGCATGTACGGCACGGCATGTATCACATGTACGTATGGCATGTACACTGCATGTATCACATGTACGTATGGCATGTTCACTGCATGTACCACATGTACATATGGCATGTTCACTGCACGTATCACATGTACCTATGGCATGTTCACTGCATGTATCACATGTACCTATGGCATGTTCACTGCATGTATCACATGTACCTATGGCATGTTTGCATGGCATGTATGGCATTCTAAATTTTCCAGTGCAGTAAATCCAATAATTGAAACTTCCTGCAAGCCAAAAACTGGCATGGCATGGCATGGCAGTGATTGTTGTTGATTGTGGCAGACTCTCTCCTGGATTTTTGTATCCAGGAGTGCTTGCATCCACAGCACAAGTGTATCGCCACTTTGTTGAAAGCCCGCTGCACTACACCTGCAACACTGAGGGTGTTCCTACGCTCTTATCAGGCAAACCTCTTGTCAGCCTTGCCTGGTAAAAGTAGCGAGAGTTTTTGGGTTTAGAGAATTTTCAGTGTGTTATGACGTGAGCTTGATAGGAGGTTGGCCTGATAAGGGGCCGTAGGAACACACCCTAACATCGCTACACCAAACACTTCTGAGATTTCTCAAAAGTGACACCGATTTGGTGAATGGCCACTGCACTAAAACATCAATACTAACATCGCTAGCTGCACCAAACACTGCAACCAGCACAATGCCGGGGTTCCGCACGGTTACATTGTTACAAGACTGTACAGCACGCATGCCCATTTGCCTTGGCGTTAGAGCCTTTGCCAGAGGGGCTCATCTCCTCCTGGATCTGCTCCAGTATCTGTATAATGCGTGCAAAGGAAGGCCTTACTGCCGGATCACTATTCCAGCAATCCGTAATCAACCTGGGGAAGGGGGAGGAAAGGAGAGCGGGAGGGGGGTAAGGGGGAGGGAAGATGGGGGGGCAGGGCAGGGGGAGGGAGGGAGATAACAAGCTGAATGGTCTACGGAGCATGCAGGTGAGGAAAAGTTGTCATGCGCACACAGCGACTGCAGGAGGGTGAGTAACGATGGCAAGGGAAGGATCAGAGCAGCATCCCTCGGAGCAGCTAGTAATGAGGCAGCTCAGAGTGAGCATGACATGTGGTACGCCCATGCAGCCGGGCACGCCATGCGACACGCCCACCCATACAACACACCCACCCATGCTCCACACCCATGTGATTCACCCATCCATGCGCCACACCCATGCGACACACCCATGCGCCACACCCATGCGCCACACCCATGCAACACACCCATGCAACACACCCATGCGACACGCCCATGCAACACACCCATGCGCCACACCCATGCAACATATACATCCGACACAGCGCACACATGCAGCACACACTGGCAACACTCACTCCTTCATCCCCACGGGATACGTTCGTCTGGTGAAGACCAGAGCAATGTCAGGCAGCCTTGCTGCTTCCGGTGCTGCCTCCCCTTCACTCCCTCTCCCAGCAGCACCAGCAGCAGCAGCACCACCAGCATCATTAGCAGCACCAGCAGAACCATCAGCAGCACCACCACCAGTATCATTAGCAGCACCAGCAGAACCACCAGCAGCAGCACCACTGCTGCCAGCAACCTCCTTGCTTCTCTCCCCCGCACCCCCCCCCTTAAACAAACCCCCACCCCTCAAGCTCCCCCCTCCATGGTAACTCCCCCCTCCGCTGTGGTGGCTTCCCCCTGCCCCCCCCTCTGCTCCCCCATCCCCGTAGCTGTGGCCGCTGCCGCTAAGTGCCAGCGGGAAAAGATTTCCCCCGTGGTTGGTCCCACCGGGTAGCAACTGGCGAATCCGGTCATATCCTTCAAACATCTGAGAAGCAGGTGCGAGTGTGCGAGGCGGGAGGAGGTCGATTGGGGTGTAAATTTTTATTTCAGTTGCGAGAAAGGAATCCGAAGGGAAGACATCATAAACGGACAAATTTAAGAGTCTATGCAAAATTGGTGCAATCTGGATGTCAAAGCGAATGACTCTCAAGGTTTGCACCACGATGATCCTCAATGAGATTGACTTTGCACGAGCAAACACAGTAAAAAAAAAAAAAAAAAAAAAAAAAAAAAAAACGAGGGCACGAAATAACTTTTAACAATTACGAACTGTACCTCAAACAGAATGACTCCAAACGAGTACACATCCACACTCTTGTCATACTCCTGCTGTGCCAACAACTCGGGTGCAGAATAGAGGCCTGCCGTGCAGTGGCGGGCAGAGGGGGTTGGGAAAAGGACAAAGAGCAGGAGTATTTTAAGGGGCAGGGAAAGGAGAGAGAAAGGAAAAAGGGAGAGAAAAATGAGAGAAATAGAGGAAGGAGGAAATATAAAAGAAAGGAGGAGGGAAGGGAAAAGAGCAGAACAGGGATAGAAAATGAGAAGAAATTGATGACGTGTACATCGATGACTTGCAGGGGGTGGGAGAGGGCGGGAGGAGGGGCCGGGAGGAGATGGGAGGGGATAGAAAGGTTTGGGAAGGGTTGGGATGGGAAGGGTTGGGAAGGGTTGGGAAAGTTTGGGAAGGGTTGGGAAGGGTTGGGAAGGGTTGGGAAGGGTTGCAAATGGTGAAGGTTGCTTGAGATGGCTGTTGCAGAATTTTGAGACGTCTCAAAACAAAGTTCTGGCAATGGCAGTCAAGGGTTGCAAAATGGTGAAGGTTGCTTGAGATGGCTGTTTCAGAATTTTGAGACATCTCAAAACAAAGTTCTGGCAATGGCAGTCAAGGGTTGCAAAATGGTGAAGGTTGCTTGAGATGGCTGTTTCAGAATTTTGAGACGTCTCAAAACAAAGTTCTGGCAATGGCAGTCAAGGGTTGCAAAATGGTGAAGGTTGCTTACGATGGCTGTGCTTGGAAAAGGTGAGTCGGCGAGAGAAGTTGGGCTGGAAGAGTGAGACAATGTTGGTGCCCCCCATCCCCATGCCTAGGCCCATCCCCATCCCCATCCCCAGGCCCATCCCTGTGCCCATGGAGGAATTGGGTGGGGCCGCAGCAGTGGCTCGTATGCTTGCCAGGCCAAAATCCGCCACCTTTAGATGGCCTGAGTCGTCCCGCAAGAGGTTGCTTCTCGTGTGTGGGGAAAGGAGGAAAGGGAGATGGGGGAAGGAGAAAAGGGAGATGGGGAAAGGAGGAAAGAGACAAGGAAACGGGAGGAATAGGGGGAAGGGAGGCCAAGGAGAGACTGAAATCCGCCACCTTGAGATGCCCTGAGTCATCGCACAAGAGGTTGCTACCAGTGTGTGGGAAGAAATGGGGAAAAGGGAGAAAGGGGGGATGATATAAAAGGGGAGTGGGAGAGGGAGAAAGGGGGGATGATATAAAAGGGGAGTGGGAAAGAGAGAAAGGGGGGATGATATAAAAGGGGAGTGGGAGAGGGAGAAATGGGGAAAAGGGAGAAAGGAGGAAAGTTGGAAAGTGGGAAGGGGGGAAAGGGCCGGGAGTGGGGAAGGAGAGAAGAGCAGAAAGTGGTGTGCATCCACCATCGTGTAATGAGTCTGTTTTTGAGTCGACTCAAAAAAACATCTTTGGTGTGCCTCCACCATCGTCCCCCCAACCCCTCGCACTACTCACTCCCCCCCCTCTCACTCACAACCCCTCCCCTCTGCCCCCCTCCTTTCCCCCCTTGCTCCTCACTTCCACCAATATAATACCTGGGCGTGAGGTCGCGGTGTATTGCAGGGTCTGGCTGGTGGGCATGCAGATAGCACATGCAGCCTTTACCTCCCCACTTACTACCTTCCCCACTTACTACCTTCCCCACATCCTCGCAGCTGCATACCTGGGGGTCAAGTCGCGGTGAATTACAGGGTCTGGCCGGTGCGCATGCAGATAGCACATGCCCCTGGGTGGGAGGGGAGACGGGTCACGGGGGAGATGGGGGAGATGGGGGAGACGGGGGAGAAGGGGGAGATGGGGGAGACAACGGAGATGGGGACGAGGGAAGTGGGGAGATTAGGGGAGATGAGAGCGGAAGCGGAGGGAGAGGAGGAGAGGGGAGGAGAGGAGAGGAGAGAGAGGGAAAGAGAGGAGACGGAGCGGAGCGGGGAAGCATTGAGCGGAGGGAGGAGTGTAGAGGAGAGGAGGGGAGGGGAGGTGAGGAGGAGAGGGGAATGTGAATGAAGAGGGCTTGTAAAAAAACTGACTGGGGAAGGGGTGTGCATGGATGGGGAAAGGTGGACAGAGGAGGTAAAGAGAACGAAGGCAGAGGCAAAAAATCGAGGATACAACTTAGGGTGGCTAGTAGGGAGGGAGGGGGTGGAGTTCAGAACGTTTCACAGGGAGGGAGTATGAGCCAACGGAGAGGGCAAAATGGGGTGCGTTATAAATCAGCTCAGTAGCCAAAAGGCATCAGGCAATGTCTAATGCAGAGGGCAATGTCTAACGCAGAGGGCAATGTCTAACGCAGAGGGCAATGTCTAACGCAGAGGGCAATGTCTAACGCAGAGGGCAATGTCTAACGCAGAGGGCAATGTCTAACGCAGAGGGCAATGTCTAACGCAGAGGGCAATGTCTAACGCAGAGGGCAATGTCTAACGCAGAGGGCAATGTCTAACGCAGAGACCAATGTCTACAAGCACCTCCCACAGTACCTGGCAACGTCAAGGGCGTAGCGCATTGCTTCGTGCGCCGGCAGCGCGCCCTTCTTGCGAATGACGTCCCTCAGATTCACCTGTGCACGTGGGGAGGGGGCGCATGGGGGAGGGGGCGCACGGGGGAGGGGGCGCACGGGGGAGGGGGCGCATGGGGGAGGGGGCGCACGGGGGAGGAATGCATGGGGGAGGGGCCGGATGGGGGAGGCAAAGCGCCCTTCCTGCAAATGACGTCCCTCAGATTCACTTGTGCAGGGGACGCATGGGGGACGGGCGCATAGGGGAGGGGAGGGGAGCAGGGGGAAGGGCGAATGGGGGAGGGGCGGATGGGGGAAGGGGCGAAGACGTCCCTCAGATTCACCTGAGAGGGTCTGACTTTTTATGTTTTCTGAGTATTTTTCTTCTTCTTTCATCAACTTAAACCAAGCAAGTCCATCTCACCTTGAGGTACTCTGTGACAATCATGCGTGGGCAGGACTTGGTGACGGTGAGGTGACGACAGGCACGTTGTGCCAGCCATATTGTGCCGGCCAAGCATGAGCACTTAAAGCCAGCATACCCCACCCCACCTTGAGATACTCTGTGACGATCATGCATGGGCGGGACTTGGTGACGGCTCCCAGGAACTGCACGATGTTGGGGTGGCGCAGCGACTGCAGGATTCGCAGCTCTTGTCTGAACTCGTTGCTGCGGACCAAGGAGATGGGGAGGGCGGGCAAGGGGGGGCGGGCAAGGGGGGCGGAGCAAGGGGGGGCGGGCAAGGGGGGCGGGGCAAGGGGGGCCCGGGCAAGGGGGAGCGGGCAAGGGGGGGCGGGCGAGGGGGGTGGGCAAGAAGGGGCGGGCAGGGGGGGCGGGTTTTGTGTCGACTCATGAGAGTCACGATGTTGGGGTGGCACAGGGATCGCAGAATCCGCGGCTCCTGCCGGAACTCATTGCTGCACGCACGGGGGCTCAGGACAAGAGGGGTAGGAGATGGGTGGGCGGGGGGGTTGCGGATGAGGGGGATTGAGCAACGAGGGAAGTGGTGGGTGACGGCACATCAATAATCATTGAGAGAGATAAAAAAACTAGGAGGAAAGGGGGGGAGGGGGGGGGAGGGTGGGGGGGGGCATACAATCTGCCTTACAAAGCAGGTATTAGCAAGACCAGTAAGCGGTTCATTTTAGAGAGCAGCAAGGTATGAAATTATGAATAGCAAGTCTCGCGTGTGGCTTACAGGGCAGCAGGGTCGGCAGCATATTCATCTCTCAGCACCTTGACAGCAATGGGCGTGCCCCTCCAACTCGCCAACCGCACCTCCCCAAACGACCCCTGGCATGTGGGAGGAGTAAGAGGGGCAGGCGACAGGGAGGAGAGGAAGGGCAGGCGTTGAGAGGGAGGGAGTTGAGAGGAAGGGAGTTGAGAGGGAGAAGGGAGAAGGGAGAAGGGAGAAGGGAGAAGCATTGTGCCAAAGAACCTCAGCAGCTGCATTGCAATTCCCAGAATGACCCTGCACTCACCCCCTCCCCCCTTCTCACCTCGCCCCTTCCCAACCCCACCTTGCATTGCTCACACCCTCTCTTCACCCTGCTCACCCCCCACCCCCCTCCTCCCACCCAGTCCCCCTGCGCACCTCGCCCATCCCCTCCCCCTCCCCCTGCGCACCTCGTCCATCCCCTCCCCCTCCCTCTGCACACCTCGCCCATCCCCTCCCCCTCCCCCTACGCATCTCGCCCATCCCCTCCACCTCCCCCTACGCACCTCGCCCATCCCCTCCACCTCCCCCTACGCACCTCGCCAATGACCTTGGACGTGCCAAGGTCGATCTCACTGCCATCGATCTCGTAGTCGTGCTGGTTGAACGAATGAGCCACCTACCTGACACAAGTGCCCCCCATGCCGCCCCCCCCCACACCCCCGTCTTTTCCTCAAGCTCACCTCCCCATACACCCCACCTCCCCCCCTCCCCTCCTGCGCACCTCGCCCATGACCTTGGACGTGCCAAGGCCGATCTCGTAGTCGTGCTGACAGAAGGAATGAGCCAACTATCTGACATACGTGCCCGCCATGCGTCCCCCTCCCCCTCTTACGCACCTCGCCTATGACCTTGGATGTGCCCAGGTCGATCTCACTGCCATCGATCTCGTAGTCGTGCTGGTTGAACGAGCTCGCCCCTGCATTGCACATGCGCGCACTCTGTCAGGGATGGGGGAGAGCGGAGGGAGGGAATCGGGAGGGAGGTGGAAAAGCGGGGGAGGGAGGAGGGGGGGGAAGGGATGGCGGGGAAACGATGCTGGGCTAATTACTAGGGAAGTATGGGCAGGATTTACAATGTAGGAGTGGCTAGGAACGACAGACGGAGCAGTCAATGAGAAATGCAGGGACGATAAGGGCTGACGTATGAGTCGACTCAACACAAGTCAATGAGAGATGCAGGAATGATCAGAGGAACGCCGGAGGACAGAAAAGGGTGGTGTGGGGGTACGGGAGGGGGGGGGGAGAGAGAGAGGAGAGAGGCGAATGCTTTCTTTGTTATTGGATAGGGAATCAGGGGCAAGGGAGAAAAGGTAGACAGGGAAAGAAGATTGCATGGAGCATAGGAGGTTCAGGAGAAACGAGGAAGAGATGTCATCCCCACCATCCCCGCCATCCCCACCATCCCACCATCCTGCCATCCCGCCATCCCACCACCATCCCACCATCCCACTATTCCCACCATCCCTGCCAGACTCCTCTTTTCCGCTTACGCTGCCCTGCCGCCCTCTCTCTCCCCAGGCTCTCCAGTCCTCTACATTCCCGCACCCCCTCTCTCCCTCCTGATTCCCCTTTCCTCCACACTCCGCCACTCCCATTTCTTCCTACAGACTCCCCTTTCCTCTACATTATCCCATCGCCCTCTCATTCCCCAGATTCCCTGTTCCTCTATTATTTTCCCGCGTCCCCACGTTCCCCCGCGCACCTCACAGAGCATGCCCTCTCACCTCACAGAGCATGCCGCCCTTCTCCTTGAGCAGGCGGCAGATCTCTCCGGATCCATACGACTGCGCGTCTGCCAAGGGCTGCCAGAGGGGGGGGGAGGGTGGGGGGGGAGGGCAATGGCCGTCATGCCATGCCATGCCATCCAATATCATGCCATGTCATGTCAGGCCACACCATGCAATGCAATGCCATGCCATGCCATGACATGCCATCCCAACCTATAACATGCCATCCCCCATCCCATAACATGCCATCCCACACCATGCCATGCCATCCCACACAATGCCATGTCATGTCATGCCATGCCATGCCATCCCATCCTGTGCCATGTCATACCATCCCATCCCATCCCATCCCACGCCATGCCACGCCACGCCACGCCGCGCCGCGCCACGCCACGCCACGCCACGCCACGCCACGCCACGCCACGACACGCCACGCCACGCCATGCCATTCCATGCCAAAACAATAACATTGTGATGCCACATAGCCAGGTAACAGTGTGATGTCGCAAAATTGGCTAGCAATGTGATGTCACGACGATTCGGCCCCGTTCACCAGGTAACAGATAGAAGTCACCACGATGGGAATTCACATTGTCAAAGGGAGCAACGGACCCACGCGGTCAGATCAATGCCTCTGCCTTCCGCCTCTCACTGTGCTGTCATGCACCCCTTCACATCGTTCTGCACCCCTCTCACCGTGTTGCCGTGGCGGTCCTTGGGGTTCACATCCGCGCCTCGCTCAAGCAGCACCCGCACCACATCCACCTTCCCCTCGCTCGCCGCCAGATGCAGCGCCGTTCGCCCGTCATAATCCGCCAAATCCGGACTCACGCCGCGATCCAATAGGTCTATAACTCCCTCGATTATGCCGCGGCTCGCAAGGAACAGCAACTGCCCTGTGGCGTCTACCAGCTCGCGGTGTCGCGCTGACGTGTTCGCCGCGTCTTGACCATTGCGCACGTCTGTGATTGGCCGTTTCGGAGCGAGAATCGCGGCGTTACTAGCACTGGTACTAGGTGCAGTGGTATCAGGCTGAGCTGGACCTAGGCCGTAATCGTCGCCAAGGTTACTCGCTTCATTTCGGTCGCCAGAGTTACCAGCTTGATCTATATCGCCAACGTTACTACTTTGACCTTGAATTCTGTCAGTCCCCGGCGGTAACTCAGTCGCAGATGCTTCCGTCGATGCTTCCGCCGATGCTTCTGCCGATGCTTCCCCCAATGCTACCACGGGTAGCGGAGTGGCCGCTTCCGTTAATCGGGGGGATTCGTCGATTTCCGCCGCGTGACGGGGTTCCCCGATCTCCACGGCTTGCGCAGGCTCCCCTGCTGCTGCTATCGTTTCCGCAGAAGCACCCGCGATTCGCATTTCCGCAGCAGAAGCATCTGCGACTGGCATTTCCGCAGCATCTACGAGTGGCATTTCCGCAGCATAAGTATCTACGGCTGGCATTTCAGCAGCATAAGTATCTACGGCTGGCATTTCGCCTGGAAGTGTCGGTCTGTGATCTGGCTGTTTTAGGGTTTCCCGTTCAGGTGACGCAGATATGTGGTTACCACGATACCTTCGCGAAACGGTGCATCGTCTAGTGAGGGCCCAGTGCTGAGTACTTTTGCGGCTTCTATGTCCGATCAGCCAAGTCAGCAAGTCGAGCCGCGCGACGCATGAACCTCCCTGTTTGATATATCAAAGATGAAGAAGGCTAACACAAATGGGAAACTAGCGAAATTCCCTGCATCGAGAGCAAAACTACGGATCTTCTACCACCAGCAGCGGCACTCCTTCGACATAAAACCAGCGAAAGGAGCTTTTACTAACAGCAGCAGCACCAGTAGCAGCAACCATGGCAGAAAGGTTGATCGAACAGTTCAGAGAGAATTGCTCCAGAACCCCTTGTTTGGTGATTCGGTCTTGCACACGTGGCCTCGAATTGCTCGCGTGGTCATCCAATTCACTGATAATTGCTCGGAATATCCAAGTGGAAACGGGTCGTCAAGCCTGACGACCCGTTGACGACTTGACGACATGCTGCCCGGGCAGGAAAAAACTAAACCCCTATCGGATGGCATGCCATCAACCCTAAATCCATGCCTCCCTGTGTTTAGGGTTGATGACTCCCTGACCGGATGCATGCCCGAATGGGTTTTTTTTTTTTTGCCTGCGGGTAGCGAGCTCCCCCGGGCGGACTCGCTTGTCCGCTGAGATATATTCGGCGAGTGGCCTTGCCAGGGGATTTTAGTGGTGTTTTTTTTCCCCGGCACATTACCCTACAAAGAATTTAGCCCCGAAATTCCCGAACGTGTCTCTTTTCGCGGAAACGTGGCTTACTATTCTCCCGAAAATTTCGCAATCATATAGTAAATTGAGTTTCGTTTGCGCGGTCAAATATGGTATTGATCCTTAATGATGACGCCTGATTGGACGCGCATTGCCAACAATTGCATTGCGCATAATATTGACGAATCATGAGCGGTCGTTAGGGCTCTTGCGCTTTGATGCTCGTCAATTGAAGTTTATGATAGTAAATTTATATGCTCGAGCGCTTATTGGTTACGGATTTTTTTGACAGAGCGCTCACTGGTTGCGCATTGGGCCGAAACTGAGCGCGCATCTACTGTTCGTCGTGATTTTTTGTCGGTTTTCTGAACAGTGAGTGGGCCCGCCACTCTGGCCAAATTTTCGGATGGGGAATAGTACGCAACACTTCCGCGCGATGAGACGAGTACGTGAGAGGAATTTCGAGGTTACACACCCTTGTAGGGTAATGTGCCGAGGAAAAAAAACACCAGGGGATCCACTCGAGCAATTATATGTGAATTGGATTATCACGCGAGCAATTCGGGGCCACGTGTGCAAGACCGGATCACCAAACAAGGTTTTGTAGCAATTCTCTCAACAGTTCAAATGGCGGATTCCTTTTAGAGTCCATCAGCGGTGTAGTACTGTACATGACTTTCGCTGAAGGGCTTGTGATTATACAACATTTCGACAACCACTTCAAATCCAATAGCGCTTATAGTGTATCTTACATTGCCAAAAAAGGTTTCAAGTCCAATAGGTTGCGAATAATTGAAAAGGATGGAGAAGGTTCCGAACCATTATTAGGACTCTGAATGTATATTGTATAGTGCATTGTTTAGTGTACTGCCACATAAAAAAAACACGCATACAAAAACTAGAAGCTACAAGGCTTAATACCATTTACTAGTTGAACAATATGGTAACATTTTCCTAGTATTTTTTATGAGTTGTAAAAACAAAATGGGCGGAATAAACGAATAATAAATATGTGACAATATGGATTGACGATAAAATAAAATGACGACATAATGTACCGGGCAAAACTTAGCCAGGCTGGAACCTTGGAAATAGAGATCGTGATACTCTGTTTCTAGTAATCTGCATGCCAAGATAGCAGCGCAGTTCACCTAGGTTAGTGCAAATATGTCACCTTAGCAAATCGACATTCACTGGGGTGACCCTGTTTGGAGTAGCGAGTACCATGTCGTCTACGTAGACAATGATGTAGAATGGAGTAGAGCCAGAGCGAACGAAAGAGACGAGTCATCGGAGGATAGAAAGAAACAAAGGTCAACCAAAGTGTTACATAGCATATCACGCCACTCACGAGGATCCTGACGCATACCTTAGATGGGCCGCCATGTTAACGAGAGAACAAGTAGCTATAATGGGCATAAAGGGGGGTACAGGTAGCAACCCACACCCAATACAATACAGCCCATTTTAGCCTATACTATGCACATAGAAACGTGCATGTGTATATTTGATAGTGTCCATGTTGGACAAATGAAAGCCGAAAGCGACGCGAGGCAGCCTTAGTATCGAGAATTTTCGCTGAGCCAATTACACGTCTGATAAGGAAAAGGCGATTTTGCCTTTTACTGACCCCTTTCCTAAGACGGGTGATCATGATCAACCGCACGCTTTCGTGTGAGATACTTGCGAAGTAGTGAAGGTGCTTCAAGCAAGGATGAAGAAACACATGTGTTGTCCTCTCACGTATGATCGGTCCAATGAGGCATCTATTCGAGTCAAGCCAGACACATTGTCAAAATATCTTTGACAGATCGGTCGGTTATGGAACTTGGCAAGGCGCTGAAGCGGTGTTTTGTTGGCAATATTTGGCATGTCAGCGACGAGGGGTCATAGAAGGCTGGTGTGGAAAGCATCGTATATTTGCCAATAGTCGGGCAGCAATAAGTTTGCAGTCACCATGGTTATCATTCAGATGATGTAGAAAGATCCATAATATTGTCGTAACTTCGGTGATGCGGACAATCTAAGTCTCTTCGTGTGGATCATAACTTGTTTTTCCTATTGTTTATCCGAATATGTTCGAGCAGTGCTGTTCACCTTGTGGGTAGCCTTGATGACTTTGTCTCTAACGCTTTGTAGCATAGCAATAAATTGCCGATAATGGGGTAACGGGTTGTTGGGTTTGGTCAAAGTTGGTACAATCGAGGAAAGATTGCAGGTGGTTAGAGCGTGTTCCTACACCTCGTATCAGACACACCTCGTATCAGCTTTACGTGGTGAAATACGTTTCAGTGTGTTCGACTATGGTTGGATGCGTTTCAGTGCGGTTCGACGCGAATCTGATACGAGGTTGCCTGATATGAGGCCGTAGGAACACGCTCTTAGTCGTGTTTGACAAGCCACGATCGAGGTGGTGGGAAGGCACGAGATGAGCGGGATGCCCAGTGCATGCATGGTGCAGGACGACGAGGATGCCATGCTCTGCCCGAAGCCAACCCTACCACAATGTGCGCTCTCCAGCTGAAGCATACCGTAGAAAGATTCCATATGAGATAGCGCGGCATGTCAAACTTATATCTGCTATGGTCTATTTAGGCTGTAGTGGGGTAGCTCTTAGAGGGTACAACACTTATGTGTTTCCTACTTGTACCCATCTCATTTGCTAGTTTATGCATTCTTTTCGTCAATCATTCTCACATGGTATAGAGCTAGTTTCGAGAATTTTTTAAAGGGCCCACCACTGAAATTCTTCACTGCCTGCTCGACGCGCGCGTCGCGCCTTCCCTTCGAGGCCCGTT